ATTCCTGCTACAATACAATCCTCTGTAACCCAAGCAGTCAGCTGTTTCACTGACACAGTGGAAGCATGCAACAACTGCCTACATACACACAGGTTTCTGTGCGTGGAATGCATATGAATGTGACTGCACACAAAAAGAAACAAAATAACTCAATCCACAGGAAATTCTAAAATGCCTCTCAATTCATCAATGTACTAATTATTCAAATATTTATTGAACATCCACTTTGTGCCAAGCACCAGAAGTATATTAGTAAAACAGAAAGATGAAATCTGGCCCTCAAGTATCACCTCCAGTTTAAAGACACACAAGTCATTTTTATTATACCAATCATCTGAAGTAGGTAAAGTGAATGAGGATGGAGACATTCCAAGTCAAGAGTGATTAATGACAGCAAACTACACAGTACATTCCGGAAACTGAAAAAAAAATTAGTATGGTGCCAGGGATTCTGCTTGTTTTCTGTTTCTGGTACATGAAACGAAGTGCTATGAAAATTAGAGGAGGAGATAAGCAAGGAGCAGATCTTGGAGAACCTGAATTCCACACCAAGAAATTCAGATTTATCTTGTTGACAATGAGAAGCCATTAAAGAGCAATAACAACTTTAAGAGTTTTTCAGACAAGTATTTTGAATTTTCTGGTGGGGACAAATAAACTACAGAGACAAAATATGCACAATACACACTAGGGCACTGAGATAATAGTTAAATAGTGTTTCTCTAGCTGCAATAAAACAACAATAACTTATTAACTCTTCCTAAGGAATTCAAAGAGTATCCTGCATAATATTAATAATTTGCATTTGTATTAAACTTTACTATTTACAAATCATTTTTACCATACACTGCTAATAACATACTGTTCTATAAAATTAAAGATTGAGGACATATCTTAATTAAACTAAACTGCCCTTGTTCTAACATTCAAATTATATGTAAATGAGAAAAAGGTAACCAATATTCTCATTGGCTGAAAACAGTTCAACTTAGTGGCTCATGGACATCTCCTTCCCACCCTGAGTCCACCACCTTGGTTTGGGCCACCTTCATTCTTCAGCTGGGTTTTTGCAATGGTCTCCTCACGGGTCTCTCAGCCTCTAGGCTTATCTAACGTCAGTGTTATATGTAGAAACAGCCAAAAATGACTTATTTTTCTAGAGCACAAGAAAACCTGACCACATTACTACTCTGCTGTTTAAAACATTCCAATGATTTCTCCATTGCACCAAAGTTAAAGTCTAACCTCTCTCACATGGCATAAAAGGTTCTTTTACAATGACCTTGGCCTTACTCTCCTTCCCATTCTCTTTCATCATATACTCTAGACATACCAACTCTATAGTTTCCATCCTTCTTTCATTTTGGCAAATATTGTTCCCTCAAACCCAAACTCCTACTGCTTCAGATTTCTATTTAGGTGTCTCATTCTAGTAACTATCACCAACACAAAACAAAACATCTCAATAAAAGATGCACAGGATAGGCTGGATTATCGGTCCCAATTTTTCAGTTCCTCCCTGTTAGAGAATATACATCCATATCCTTGGCCAAAATGCTCTGCAGTTAACTACCACTAGAATAGGCAAAGTCTATTTTCCTGCTCCATTTAGGTTGGACTTGGTTATAGGATTTCTCTGCCCAACAGTGCGGGCAGTATGCCAGTTTTGAATTGGGGTCTTAAAAGGCTTTGCATGAGTGCTTCTCAGCCCTCTTCATGCTTCCTCTAACTCCATAAGAAGATCATAAGACGTGCCAAGCAGATCTATGAGCCTGGAGCCAAATCTAGAGGAACCCAGTCAAGCTCAGCCAAGATCAACCAAATCCCAGCTGACCTAGAGATTCATGAGGGGGAAAAAATGTTTTAAGCTACTGAGATTTTCAGATTATTTATTATTTAGCATTTTTTTTTTTGCAGCAATAGCCGATATAGTACATTTCCAATAAAATTTTACTTTTATCAAAAATACAGTTTTGATTATGTACTGATAGGTTAGAATCCTCATTCAATCATAAAGATTTTAAACACACTAAAACCAAAATTCAATTTTAATTTATATACCTACCTTAAGTGCAGAGGATTGTGATACGGTGTTTGGGCAGTAAATAAAATACAACACTAAAATAAATACAATATTAGGATAGTCAATAAAATATAACATTAGGATAAATTCTATGAAGGAAGTGGAATAGAAATACAAATCCAGTGAAGACCAGGAGTAATTTACAACTTTCAGCTGTTAACAAAGAGCCTGTTCAGGTACTTTATACATGGATAAGGGTGTTAAAGATTCCCAGACACTTTAGATTGCTGGATACTTTTTTAAAATGATATAACTGTTTTATTTGAAAATGTCATTATTTACAACACACCAAAAAGTATATAATTTGCAATGATTTAAACTTGTGATGGAAAAGTTTTCAGATGTCACCCAAAATATGTGCGAGAGAAGACATTGTCTTTCTTTTGGTGTATAGTTCTATGAATTTTAGTACACATACAGATACGTATAATCCACTGTTTGTAAAAGACAGAAAAGATACATCTGCCCCCTGCTATCCCCCCTTTACAGTCACATCCTCTTCTCACCTAGATCTTTTAGAAGTTCCTTAAAGAAATATGTGAACAAAAAAGTTTGAAGAACACTATTATGTGACAATTAACTAGTCCATTTATTGAGGCTTCAAATTTTCAGTCAAATTCTAGATCACTTAATATTAATAATGCCAAAAATATCCAATAAGCAATGGTAAATTCTACTCTGTGGGACAAGTAACATACTCAAGTCCATCAATACTAAGTTGGTTAATATACTTATTGACGCACGGTCCACTGCAGCCAAGACTTAAAGTTTCTTCATAATATTCAGAGAACAACATAGCTAATGTCATCTGGAAACCAATCTTATCTTTAAATAGATTTGCTTGGTTATACTAGATAGTATTAAAAGGCCTCCTAGTTAAATTTTCTCCCATTTTCTGTTTGCCTGAATTTTTCAGAAAGTTGAGACTTAGACAAATAGCACTCATAAAGAGCAATTCCAAATGAAAATCATAAATGTATAATACAAACCAGAATAAACTCCTTTGTACACGAGTGGGTTTTAATCAGTCTTTCTCAAAACATCAAGCATACCATCACTAGGAGAGGCATCAAAAGTCAAAACCAAGGGACTTCAAACAGATGAAAAAGACAGGCAAGGCAAGTCAAATACAGGAAATAACTTAAAGTAATTCTTGATGAATTATTTAAGATCGGTGTTTTA